TTAACAACAACTTCAAATGACAACACAGCTGCAGCTGCAACAACAGTGTTAAATGTCAACAAGACAATATCAACTACAATATCAACCCTAAACGGAAGCAACAGAACTACAACAACCCTAAATGGCAACGACTCAGCTGCAGTTGAAACAACAAAAACAATTGTAAATGACAATAATACAACATCTGCAACAACAACTTTAAATGTTAGCAATATAACAGCTGCAACTTTAAAAAGTAATAATACAATGGCAATAGCAACTACAACACTTGTAAATAGCAACAACAAAACTACATCTACAACAACGACAGTGGTAAATGTCAGCATGACGACATCAGCTACAACAACCCTAAATGAAAACAACACATCTACAGCTGCAAAAACAACAGTGTTAAATGTTAACATGACACATCCTGCTCTTACAATAAATTTAAATGACAGCACAACAGGAGTTGTAACAGCAACTTTAACAGGCAACAGCACAACAACAGATGCAACAAAAAATATTTTAAATGACAACAATACATTGGCAGCTGCAACAGCAACTGTAAATGGTAACAATACAACAACAGATGCAACAATATTTTATTTGAATGGCAACAATACATTGGAAGTTGCAACAAAATCTTTAAATGTCAACACAACTACACCTACAACAACTGCAAATGGCAACAACACCACAGTTGTAACAACTTCAAATGGCAACTCAACTGCAGTTGAAACAACAAAAACAAGTGTAAATGGCAGCAATACAACATCTGAAATGACAACTTTAAATGTTACCAACATAACAACTGTCACTTTAAATAGTAACGATACAATGGCAGTTGTGACTGCAACGACTGTAGATAGCAACAACACAACTACATTAAGAACAACTACAGTGGTAAATGTCAACACAACATCAGCTACAACAACCCTAAATGATAACAACACAACTACAGCTGCAACAACAACAGTGTTAAATGTCAATAGGATAACAGCCACAACAAAAATAAATAACAACAACACAACTACAGTCACAATAGCAACAGTGTTAAATGTCAACATGACATACCCAGCTGCAACTATAAATTTAAATGACAACAACATAACAGCAATTGTAACAGAAACAACTTTGAATGGCAACAATACAATTGCATTTGCAACAACTGTAAATAGCAAAAACCCACCTACAGCTGCAGCAAAAACAACTGTAAATCAAAACAACACAACTGTTGCAACAACAGCTTTAAATGGTAACAACACAAGAACAGATGCAACAATAATAACAAATGTGAATGGGAACAATACATTGGCAGCTGCAACAACAACTGTAAATGGCAAAACAACTACAACAACTGCAAATGAAAACAACAACACAGTTTTAACAACAACTTCAAATGGCAACACAACTGCAGCTGAAACAACAATGGTAAATGGCAACGATCCATCTACAGGTCCACAAACAACTGTAAATGGTAACAATACAACAGCAGTTGCAAAAACAGCTTTAAATGGTGACAACACAACAATAGATGTAACAATAACTTTGAATGGCAACAATACATTGGAAGTTGCAACAAAAACTGTAAATGGCAACACAACCACACCTGCAACACCTGTAAATGGCAACAACACCACAGTTGTAAAAACAATTTCAAATGGCTACACAACTGCACCAGCAACAACAACAATGCTAAATGTAAACAACACAGCAGCTACAACTACAACAACCCTAAATGGAAGCAACTCAATTACAACAACCCTAAATGGCACCAACACAGCTACAGTTGAAACAACAAAAATAAGTGCAAATGGAAACAATACAACATCTGCAATAACAACTTTAAATGGTATCAACATAACAGCTGCCACTTTAAATAGTGACAGTACAACTGCAGTTGCAACTATAGCAATAACTGTAAATAGCAACAACACAACTACATCTACAACAACTACAGTGTTAAATGTCAACAAGACAGCATCAGTTACAACAACCCTAAATGACAACAATACAACTACAGCTGCAACAGCAGTATTTGTAAATGGCAAGACAACAACACCTGTAAAAAATACTGTAAATGACAACAACACCACAGTTGCAAAAACAACTTTAAATGACAACACAACTGCAGCTGCAACAACAATGGGAAATGGTACCAACACACCTAAAGAAGCAAAAACAGCAACAGTAAATGACAACACAACTACACCTGCACCAACAAATGTAAATGACAACAACACCACAGTTACTACAACAACAACTTTAAATGGCAACACAACTGCAGCTGAATCAATGTTAAATGGCAACAACCCACTTATATCTTCAACAACAGCTGTAAATAGCAACATTACAACAATTGCTATAACTTTAAATGGTAACAACACAACAACAGATGCAACAACAACTGTAAATGACAACAACACCACAGTTATAACAACCACTTTACATGGCAACAAAACTGCAGCTTCAGCAACAATGGTAAATGGCAACAACCAACCTAAAGCTGCAACAACAGCAACAATAAATGACAACACAACTACACTTGCAGCAACAACTGTAAATGACAAC